GGACGGGGGGACGGGGACAGGGACACTGAATGTGAAAAGTGCATTATACTTGCGCACCTGCTGGGAAGGGGAGGCAGAGGGACCTCTGCAGCTTTCCTCCTTTCCAGACAGAGCTTCCTCTGCATAGTCTGGTAGTGATGAGTGCTCGTCACTCGGAGCAAGTCTCACGTTCCTGGAGGAACAATGTACACATAGCCTAGAAACAGGCCTGGCCTCTGCTGGGCAGCTGACCCAAGGAATGTTTCACGAGATGGAACAGATGGTTACAGATACTCATTATTGCATCCTACAGACTCTTCTCGCAGCCTCCCTGCGAGCTGGAGAGAAGACCAAGGCCAGGAGGTTCCCTCCTCCAGGTAGGACAGACCACAGCTCTCCCTCCTTTCACAATAGCAGCAGGGAAACGGTACATTCCTCCAAGTAGCCTGTCACATCTCTGCCAGCAGAAAAGCCTGGATAACCCACTCATTCCACAATGTCTTCTTAGTTTCATCTCCTCCTTTTCCTGTAAACTTAAGTGAAATAAAAGCCTCCTCCTTGGGCTCACTCATAGGCTCTGCTATAAGCAGAAAGGCTGTCTCACACACTCCCTCTCTCAGGAGAGCCTGAACACTCGATGCAACAACCATCACCACAGAAGCTGAAGCAACACGGCCCAACCCAGCAAAGACGGGTTCCAGTGATTATGAGTACGGTTAAGCTGGGCCGGAGGACCTCCAGTGCTCCCTTCTCACCTCTGGCCCCTGGGGCAAGCAGCCAGGTGCCCAGATTCTTCATTGCAATACCCCCGCCATGAGATGTGCCCTAACTGTTGCTGCCACGGAGGAGCCGGCAGCTGAACCATGCACAAGGGGACTGACAAGGAGACTGGGCAGAAGCACCAAGGTCAAACTCACCCCGGCCTTTTCTACAGAGCTCAGAGCCGCGCTCCCCAACCGACGCACAGAGAGGCCACAGCCGAGGCCAGCGGCCAGGTGAAAACAAGGGAGAGCACCTGTACAGCCCTTCAGCTGCCTAGGGTACAAAGTTACTTTAGCCTCACAGCAACTTGTCTCATGTGTCATGTCTGCCCTTTCAGACCACTGATTAGTGCAGCTGAGATCTATGACTAGTAGGTACAGCAACACACGAGATACGGCAGGCTCTCCAAATCCTCTCTCTAGCAGACAGAGATTTCTGTGCTCAGAGAGGCACACGAGAGGCTCTGCACCATTCAGATGCTCAAAAGTCCCCTCTACGCATGCAACCAGCCCTTCCACATTCACACGCCATACACAGGTAAGATCCCTTTCTCAGCTGCCTGCCACAGCCTTGAATTCCTCTGCATGCACCATGCAAAGAACAGGCAACAGAACGTGGGCTCCTTTGCTTTCTGCTTGTGGCCACGGACATCCCGGATAGCCTGAGCATTATGTACCAACCGACACTGATTGAGGTCTTTGCGTAGGAGAGTCCAATGAGTAGCAAAGGAGAGACACATAAGGAAGAAGGCGATGCGGCCAGGCACCTGGACCCAGACAGTATGTTTTACTGACAAATAGTGCCATGAAAACAATATCTGTTCCCACCGCTGCTGCATCCAAGGAGGCAGAATCTTCACATGACAACGTCACCGTGACTTTACATTCCCACATGCAGTTGATGAGACTGACTGGAAGCAGCGCGTCATTTAGGGGAAGCTACAGAGGATACAGGCAGCATCCTCACTCTGGAAAAAACCCTGTGAGGCACAAACACTGAAGGCAAGAGCAGAGCACATCTCAACTAAGACCTGAAAGGAAACTGTTCTTCTAGCGCAGGCGTTTCAAAGGCAACATAAGCAGCTAGCAGCATGCTAGGACAACAGGCCTGATGCCCTGGAGGGAAGGAACATTCTGGAGACTCTCTAATTAGCAGAGCACCCCTTTGCCACACAGTCAGTTCCAGGGCACGTTTCTGCACAGTAGACAGAACAGTCGCGAGAGACAAAACCACTACGAGCTCAGCAGAAGGACAGTGACACAGACGGGAGGTGCTGACACACAGGGCGCCCACGCAAGGAGAGAAGCAATGCCCTAACAGCTAGGCACGCCTGACAGAAAAGCTCAGAAAGATGAGAAAAAGGAGACAGCAAATGGGATGCTAAACATCAGGAGCAGCAACAGGAATCTAGTGGGGGCCTGCACGCTAAAAAGAAACCCAACACCCTCTCGCAAGCATGGTCCTAGTACAGAGCCGGGCACCTTAAATACAAGGAATACTTAAACCCAAGTTAAGTCAGAGCGAAGACCCTTCTCCTCAACATAGCAGTGACTTTTTTTTTTTTAATTCTAGCTAAGCATTTAGAGTTGGTGTCATAACACGCTGTCAGAGAGGGCAAATTAGTGTAACTACAGGAACCTTTGCTTGAATGGAGTGTTATTACCATGACGAGGTATTAATATGCATTTGATTCGATCTCACCGTGAAAGAGACTACTCTCGATTTTACCATGTTGTTCTATAGAGGAACTCCAAAGCGAAGCACCAGAACAACTAACAGAAAAACACCTAAAAATGCCCTGTGATGCTGTGATATTTTTAGAGTCCCTATATCAATCACGGAACTGTAATTAAGAGAAGCTTTGTACCTTGCCTGCACATGCACAAACACTTGTCTGTTTTCTAGAGTTTATTCAGGAAACTGCCTGCAGTGAAGAATTAGCCATCTGGAAAGTTTTCTCCTGATTTAATTACAAAATAGTCTCAGTCTCCTCACAGTAGAAGAGTGTGGTTTAGCTTTAGGCCTAAGAGAAGTTTTTTTTGTTTTTTTTTAAAGGGGTATGAACATGGGAAGAAAGATTTGATTTGGTGTCAAATAATTGAATGTATTTCTTAGCAGGAAACTGACATCTCTCATCCCAACTCATGTCCCATCCCAAGTGCTCAAGTCTTTTCCACAGTTTCCTATTCACCTGCACCCAAACCCATCCTTTTGGTCCTTCCTCTCCAATTTCTGTCATTCATGCAGATCTCTGCAGATTCTTTGCAAGAAGAAAGAACAGTTGGATTCAGTGGAAGAGACATTAAACAGAACCACCAGAGAAGCTTCTACAGCCTGCCCTCAAGAGCTCCATCGGTGAACGGTCCTTTTAAAGTGCATGTGTGAAGAAAGGGGATACTGGGAGTAGTGCCCCCTAAACTCCAGTGGGGACCCATCTTTCCCCATCATGAGAAAGGAGGAATAAAATCTTCAGCAATTTTATCTGCTACCTTAAGCTGTGTCTGCCCTTCTCATCTCCCCACCTATCCTGAATGCTCAGACCCTGCCCTGCAGGGAACCAGGTATTCAGGAAGGTGCAAAGCCCCAACCTCTGGAATGCTCTTGTCACAAGCTCTCAAGCACATCCCCCGTTCTCTACCCCAACTAGCCTGTTGCTGCTCCCTGAGGCACTGGAGCCCTCTCGATTCCCCAAGAGGATCTGGTCAGCGACCAAACTGGAGTAAATCCAGTTCTGCAGGGCAGAGAGCAGCCTTGCTGGTGAACCTGTCACAAAGTCTGTGCAATTTCTCCACCTGATGAAGGTGAGGCTCACGCACAGGGCACGCCCTAGCTCACAGCCTCAACGGGATCACTTCCCTGCATTAGAACGCCCTTCAATAGACAGCTTGACCTCCTGGGGAATGAAAGAGGGACGGAGCAGAGACGGCCGAGGCTCCTCTGCCTGCGTGCTGTATCTTTGGAAGCCCGGGGCTGTCCAGCTGTGCTGACTGCCAGTCTCAGGCTGAGAGGTTTCTGCATGAGAGCCCTGGGCTGCACTGTCCCTTTCTGCGTGGCTCTTCCTTTCAGCAGCTCTGTCAGGTGGTTCTCTGGACCCCTGCGCTGTTCTTTCAGATCTCTCTCGAGTAGATATCAACTGACCTGTGAGAGGGTAGTTAGCCTGAGAAGCAGAGTTGCCGTTCATGCTCTGTAAACTGATTGATATGCAGACGTCGCCCACCTGCAGCCTGTGACAGGGCAGAGCAAAGAGCTGAGCGGTCCGCCCTGGGCTACAGGAGGACCAACCCTGGCCATACACAAAGAAGGGATGCTCTGGGGGCACATCAATGCTCACTTTACTTTGTTGCTCCCCAACTACAAAATGCAACGTGACAAACCCAGGCCACTGGCTGTCCTGAATATCCACCACGGTGCTGGAGTCGATCTTCAGGCCCCCGCTCACCTCGGCACTGCGAACGAAGTCTTGAGTCTGCAGGTCCTCTACCCGCTTCAGCTCTCCTGTAGCCAGCTGGATGATGGCTCCTTTCATGAAGTGAGAGGGCAAGTGCGAGGAGCTGGGAGGCTGCAGTTGGGTCAATTCCTTTTCAAGCATGCTTCCTCGAGCCTGCGCATCTGGGCTCTGCCTCACCAGGGTATCTGAAGAGGAAGACCTGATGGGCTCAGACACAACGGGCACCAGGACTGGCTTGCCGTTGGCTATCACCATTCCTTTGGTTAATTGTCTTTGTCTAACCGTCTCTTCAGGGGACATTACATATGGACTCCTGGACTGGCTTTTCTCAGCAGCAGCCCTTTCCACCGTGCTCCTCAAAACATCCCTTGACTCCCCCTGCTGATCAGGGATGTTATGGCAAAGGTTTATAGGGCTCAGGTCATCTTTCCTCTGGGCTGCCAGAACATGGTAATCCTGAGATGCCAACACCCCCACCACCCTCTGAACCTCCAGATCAGTGTCTGGGGTGCTTCTGTGAGCTGGCACAGAGACCTCTGTTCTCAAAGTCTGGTAACCTGAAAGGAACTGTCCATCGACCACACATCCCACTGCAGTCCCTGGCAGACAGTCTTCAGCTTTACTGCCGGCAGAGTCCACAGCCTCACTGGTCCTCCTCACCACGTTATGCTCCAGATGTCTTTGTCCACCATTGGCGGCAACTGCCTCTGAACTCAGCTGACTGTCTTGCTGAGGAGGATCTGGGCTTCCACTTGCTGTAGGTGTCTCATATGCCGAATACCCTGGTGGGAGGCGGGACATCTGATAATAAACAGGAATTCTACCTGGTGCAATATCTAACGGCTGGGTCCCAGCATGGTGCTGCATCTGGCCAGAAGGAGAAATGGCAGAAGCAGATTTGTTGAAGGTGTGGGTAGGAGAGGTAGTCTGGGGGGAAGGAGCGGCTTCTTCCGTGAAGAGAGAGGCATATGGCACAAAGTGAGGGACGTGAGAGGTGGTGAGGTTGGTGGAAGGAGACAGGAGAGGACTAGGCAGGAAGCCAGGAGGGACAGCATAGGGCACCGTGTAATGGGAGCCGATGAACTGCAGAGACGTCGGGGGGATCTGCGCGTAGTGGATGGGAGGGTAGGGCACCCCTGGGTGCTGGATTAGCGGTGAGGTCACGTTAAAGGCCGGGGGCAAGGGGCTCACGTTCACCACGGGGTGCAGGCCCGTGGGGGAGAAGGTGGCGGGTGGCACCGCCACTTTGTAGAGCATCCCATACTGGTCCACCGTCAGCCCCGCC